CGTGGGAGCTAGCATGTGAGAAGAAAGGTTAGGCATGGATCTAAGATAGTTTTAGCTTTGCTGCTGCCCAAAGACTCAGTACTGCAAGAATGGCCAGCATCATCCCCTCCAGAGCAGTTAGGATATTTAGCGTGAACTTGAGACCTTTTGGCAGCTCCTGCTGACTGCAGCTTTGTGATATCCTTCTCTGGTAGAAAGATGAAGGTGTGCCAATGAGTGCTCTACACCCGTTTGGCTGATAAAGGTGTCATGGTTGATGAGCTGATAATGTGTGCAGGCTGTGAGATCTGGGTATGAATTCTGCAACAATGTGTGAGAGGTAGGTGAGGTAAGTGAACATTGGACAGGAATCCTGTTTGACAGAGATTGCTAGTGGGATGAGTGATATGTGCAGCATCTGAAACTAGTGGGGTAGCTGCCAAAGTCACCACAGCCCCACTGGCTCATTAGAGAGAGACAGAGATGACTGGTGGTGATTTAACCTGAGGATCACTGTGCCTCAGGTGAGGGGAGAGGTTGAGAAGGACAGTCCTTCATGGTAACCTCAGCTGATGTGGGAATTGAACCCGTGCTGTTGGTGTCACTCTGCATCACAAACCAGCCATCTGGCCAACTGAGCTCACCCACTCCCTTGGTGCATTTGGGAGAAGGTAAATGGATAAATTCACTGACCTTGCTTGCTCACGTGAACTCTTTGCATTCCTTACAAAACTGCATCCAGCTCCTTGGGGCTTGACTCCTGAACTCCAAAGTTATCAGATCCCACTGTGTTTGTGGGGGCTTCCTGCAGAAACAAGACATCTTTCGTCTTGCTCCAGGGCTGTGATATTCTTCATAGCTTCCCAGGTCATCTTCACAAATGTCAGTAACTCTTCCAGCAACAGTGCTCCTACCACTTTAAGAAGTGCATGCTATCTTCAGCAGTTCGGTGCCAGCTTTTAAGTGATTCTGGAAAGTCATGACTTTGAGCTCCCTGCTGATGTGTGCAACCCATGAACAGCAGTCAGACATGAGTGCATGCAGCAGTCATTCAAATGGACAGGCAGCACACTTTGCCTGGGCATTGGTTAATAGTGTATCGTGATTCCCATTCCTGTTTTTGGGGACTATCCAATTTAGTCCTAAAATAACTACATAGTATATTTATGTATTTCTTTCAAAAGCAAAATAATGTACCAAGCAAAGCAACACATTTAGGGAAATTAAAAGCAACTTAGGGCACAGTAGAGGGAATGTTAAATATGAGATACAGCCACACTAGCAAGTTCAATTATGCTGTTTAGCAAACTGAAGGCTGAGGTAATAAATGACCACAAAAGACTATTATAATGTGAGGGAAGCCAAGACACTGGCACATCCCCAATCATTCCCCTTGCATGTTTGTGTGTCGTGTTGCAATGCATCTAATTTGCTGTTTGATATCGTTTTGAAGAGTAATTTTCCCAACAGACCTTATAAAATGCACATTCTGAGAAAGCAAGCCCGTGAAACTATCGTCTGCTGAGCAAAGAATTGTAGCTGATACGCATGTAACTTGGAAGACTTTCAGGAAGTAATTAAGCAAGATGACGATTTTACAGCCAAGAAAGAAATGTTCAACTAAATATCTGCAGAATGGTACATACGATGCAAATATTGTCTTGTTCAGAGCTAATGCTAAGCTTAAATGGTGATTTTGGAGAATTAAGGCTGCAGTTCTTAATTCACGAGCTTGTTTATGTTAGTTCCTTTGTTGGTATTATTGGAAAATGTAGTTTTGACATTCCTATGGCAATGGTATCATGTGAATTTTTGCAGCATTCATCTCAACTTCCCTCTCTTTACTATTTTAATGGATGGCTTGCTTCAAAATTAACTGGTTGATGCTTTCAGTAAAATAGTACTGGAATTTCATGTGAGCACAATTAAATGTACAATATTATGAAGTGTCTTGACAAGCTAAATGGGGAAAAACTATTTCCACTGATAGGTAAGTTGGTAGCCAAATGGCATAAATTTAAAATAATCACTAACAGAATGAAGGCAGAATTCAGACCTTTTCTTTTAAGTCACATAATGTCATTAAGACTTGGAATGCCTTATACGTTACAGAATCCATAATGGCTTTCAAAAAAAGTACTAGAAAAACTGTCTATAAATTAAAAATTGGAAGGGTGCAGCAAATGGTACTATGTGAATAAATCTTTCAGAGAGAAAGCAGACACACTGTGCTACCTCCTTGAGTCCTGTATGATATTGTGGTAACATTACCAATATTTATTTCCAGTCAATCTATGTATAAAATAGAAATCTTACAACAAAAACTCTGCTGGTTATTTCCTAAGTCAGACCAAGCACTGCTCACATATCACACCATGGATATCAACTAGGTTATCTCTGGTCCAACAATGCCTCATTTTTAGTGTTCTTATCCTTATATTCAAATCCTTTCATGGCCTTGCCCTTCCCTGACTAGGTAATCTCCTTCATCCCCACAAATCTCCAATACTCTGTGTTCTTCCAATTCTGGACACTTGCACATTTGCAATTCCTATAGAAACTGAAGCAAGATACTGCAAATGGTGGAAATTTGTGATTCAAAACAGAATATTTTGGCAATGAGGCAAGACTTTTGGGGAGAGAAACAAGGCTAACACTTCAGGTCAATGGCCTTGCAATAGGAATAGAAAATGTTAGAAATGTCATAGGTTTTGAGTATAATAGAGGATGAGAAAGGCTGAGGGTAGGAGAGAGGGGTTAATAGAAGATGAAAAGCAAAGGCAGGAGAGATTAAAGGTCCAAAAGAATGATGCTGCAAGGTAAAAGACTATATGGGGACAAATCAATCAAGAAAATGGGTTGAGAAGAGATGTAAATGAGAATAGTAGAATATCAACAGCTGCTATTCAAAAAATAAACAGAGATTACAATCTGAAAAAATCAAACTCAATGTTGAGTCCAGAAAGCTTTAAAGTGCTTTGTCAAAAGTCTCTCCTGCTTACATTGAGGTTCATTAGAACAATGTAGGAGGCCAAAAACAGTGAGGTCAGTCTGGGAGTGTGGTGAGGAATTAAATGTCAATGTTCCCATTCTTGATTGCTCTTGATGATGTTCAATTACTACTTACTGACATTTTATAGACTGCTAGGAAATGTACACAAATGAGTAGTTAGCGGGGAGTGATTATAAGACTGTTTTAATTGAAGAGGTTGGGATCTGTCAAGCTGTGAGGATAAATCTCAAGCAGTTTACGAATATCATCTGAACTTCAAGTTTGGGTTTCAGCTGCAATAGGCCCTCTCATTCTTTGTGTCACAAACTGGACTTTTCGAAACTGTCACACATCTAAGTCTTTAAATTGTTTCTGTATCTTGCAGCTCTGTGTGGTACAAAAGCTGAAGACTAATTTAGCTCAAATTTTTGGAAGATTCAGGAACTCCTGCTGTGGCAAGAAATATACCTTCGCTATTGGGTAATATAAGTAATAGAGACAACAGAAACTTGGTTCAACTTTCTTTTCATATAAAGCTGCAGCCTTGGACACTTTTTCTGAGGTTAATTGCTGGGATAACCTGAACACAACTTTGGCAACAGATTGTAAAAGCTATTGGTGTGATTTCATTATAATAGTTCTGTACACTGTTGACAGATAATACTGTTTCTCAATTCCTCCCTACTCCTGTACTTTTTTTTCCTCTCTTTCCCAAGGGCAATGAAGTAGAGATATAAACCACCATTGATCAAATCAAATAAAGCTGGAAGCAATGAATGACCCATTCCTGTTCTTGAGCTGAAGTCATGTTTGGCAGGCATTGCTTACACATTTCTATCTTGCCCAGTTGGTTATTCGCATGTGAATGTAGATAGTTTCACCAGGCATTTCAACCAAGGATAGCACAGCTGAACTCATTTTTATGCCAGAACTAACAGTAGGCTGTTCAGCCTCTTGGGTCCTGTCATCAGTTATGTCATGGGTGATCTACATCTTAATTCCATCCACCGACCTTGCTTCCATAACCTTTAATATCCTTAATTAAGCACAAAACTATCAATCGCTCACTTGAATGAGCCTCAGCAGCTTCATTAAGGAGTATGTTCCAGACTTCCAATGACCTGAGTACTTTCCTATATCACTGTTAAAAGGCTAAGCACTAATTTTAAGATTCTGCCCTTCTTCCTGTTCTGGACTGCCTCACGGGAGGAAATAGTTTCCATCTATCTATCCAGCAACCGCTTTCATCATTTAAACACCTCCGTTAAATTATCCTCCATGCTGTCTACTCAAAGCAATACAATCCTAACAGCTATACAATCTGCCCCCATAATTTAAGCCCTTTAGCCTGCTGTTATTTTGTTCTCTTCATACGTGCAACATGGGCAACTGATGCAACTGGGATAAAACCTCTGTTATATGATTCAGTATCGTTCTAAATTGTGTAACTATTAAATGAACAATGAGGACAACCAGACTGGTAAATGTAAAGATGTAATTTGGCATTTGGGGACAGAAAAGAGATAAACTGAACACACCACCCCCAGGTGTCCTGTCACACATTTTGCCTCGGTATTGAAAATACTTCCAACTTATCTTAAATATTTTAATTATACTTTCTGTCAATTCCAACTACTCTTCAACATCCAGGGTCAGTGAGAGACCGGGAGACAGTTCTCAATTAGTTAAAAGATAGTGAAAGTTAAAAGCATCCAAAGAATAAGTTGAGCAAAACTCCACGTTTTCGTCTGTAATGTCCATCTTATAGCAAAACAAACCTTCCGAGCAACTATTAAATCTTCTACAGCATTATTTCCTGCAGTAGCGACAATGATATTTCACACAGAGTATGATGAACTCCATGTGCACTTGCAGTCTTGGAAGTTGCTCTGAATCAGATGTTTGCCCCTTCCAGTAGCATTAACTGAAGTGACACTGAGCAATTTATCTGGGGCTCCAAGGCTATAGCAGACCATACGACACATCAAGGTCTGTCAGCTAATGTGAATACTCACGGTTGTAGTAGAGGTCATGCTTGAGTAACTGCACATTTCCATTCATGATTTAGAAACTGCATATTATTCATCCAGCACTTCAGATAATATACAGCAGTCATATGAAAAATGTGCCTCTCCTGGAGAAAGGATGCTGGTTTCCTGCAAGGAGATCTGTCATATCTTTTTAATGTGAGTTATTGTTCTGACACCAGAAACGCAGTGTTACAAAAAAGATATTTTTAATTAGAAAGCAGGTTACCTTGGACCAAGTTCATCTTCACTACGCCACCTGAAGTCTCCAAATTTTTCATAGTGAGAGTTATAGTGATGTATCACTCGGTAAACCATGGGGGAGGAGATCTCCATCAGTATGTTGTAGGCAGTTTGCTGTTCCTTCCCACTGGTGTAGCCATTAAATAGGCTGTAGATCATCTCTGCTATTTCTGCACAAAACGTATAATGGTTAGAAGCAGATTTAAGCCCACTGTAACTTGCTGAAGAATGCACTCACATCAACTCTTGAGTGATAATTTTTTCATCTAGGTAATGCGAAGGTTACTGATTAGTTTATTTGGCAACGACAAGTATTACCATAAATTTCAAAACTGGGTCCAATTTAAATCTATAAAGCTACGAAATATTTTTCATATTTTTGATGTTTAGTCATTTCTAAAATGTCCAGAGGCCTGAGCTCAAAATCTAGGCTGAGTCTTCAGTGCAATACTAAGGGAAAGTTGTCCTGTTGGGGGCTTTACTCTACCATAAAATATCCAAACTACTTACTTAAGTCAGTAAAGCAGCAGTCTAAGCACTGAACCTGAGGGAATGCCACCATCCACCATCGTTCTGTCTGAACAAGAACCATTTACCACAAATCAGTGCTTTCTGCATCCTGAGCTAATTTTCTTTTTAATCCAAGGTGAAACTGATCTTCATGATCTTCAATTTTTGAACCAATCTTTCATGTAATATTTGTCAAATGCTTTCTTAAAATCCATACAACCAAGGTCCATTGAATTCTGCTCATCATTGTTCACTGTTACTTTATCAAGAAATTCAAACATGTTACTGAAGCTCAATCTGCCTTCTACAAATCTACAATGGCTCTCCTTAACTGACTCAAACCTCCACACGTGTGTGTTTTTTCATTGATCATTGTTTCTAAAAATGTACTCACCACTGACATTAAACTGACCAGCCTAGAGTTAGTGATAAAGGCCTTACATGATTTCTCGTACAAGAACATCACGTATGCCAGTTTACAATTTTCCAACATGTTCCCGTTGTGTATATAAGATTAGAATATGTCAGCAGACCTCTTTCCTACCTTATCTCAACTTCCTGTCCACATTGGGCTGAAAACCATTCAGACCAGGCGATGTATCCATTTTAAGCACTGCCAGCCTTTCCAATATATTCTACCAATCTATTCTCCCCCTGTCTAGTCGCTCTACCACTCTGCTTTCATTGATGTTTTGTCAGTGTGCTCCACGTAAGCACTGATGCAAAGAATACATTACATATTCTCGCCTTGCACTGAACCTCTAAAATATATTCTCTGTGTCCCTAATCATCCTGGTTCCACCTCTTGCTATCCGCTCACTACTTACATGCCAGAGGAAGATTTGTAGGTAACAGTTTATTCTATTATTTTAACTGCTATTCGGATCCTATATTCTTTTGCCCTGTTCATTTGTCTTCTCAAATTGTTGTATTTGGGCTGGTCTTGCCTGAAAGATTCACTGCAATGTATCATATTTTCTATCGACCTCATTGTCAAAAAGGGGGCCCTGCAGTTGACTAGTTTTACCTCGCGCCACCCTGCATCTGAGACATCGCTTCATATCACCAGTTCTGGTCAGATGTTCCCATCCCATTTAGGTTCCAATTTATCTCAGCTACCTCCTCTTTCAGCCCATAAGGTTAGCCTCTTCCAAGTTAGTAGTCCAAATTTAGATTGATTTTTGTTGGTTATACAAGAATTAACTTAAGTTCTGTGATAATGATGATCACTCATATCTCAGTGTTGTCCCACAAACACTTCCTCCAATTGTCCCACTTCACTGCCCAGCACCAGAAAGATCAATGCTGCCTTATTTGAACTGAGAACAAATGGTCAATGAAACTCTTCTGAATATGTTTCGGACATTGCTCTGTCCTTCCTTCCCTTTATTCTAACTTTTTGATTGATACTGGTTTTAAACTGCACCAATTATCACTACTCAGTTGTTTTTGTACATCCCTGTGATTTTCCTATAGATTTGCTTCTCTCTCTCTCTCTCTCGTTCTCATTACATGGACAAACATGGATTAGCCAAAGTAACGAATTAACTGCCTTTTGTTCTGAATTCCACCCAAATGTCCTTATCCCAAGGCATTCTCATGCTCCAGTACTACAAAGTCTTCCTAATTAATTCTGCCATTACCACTTTGAGTATTCTTCCCTATCTTTGCTGCATTCTTTGTACTAAGTGCCTAGACTTTACCATTCTTAAACTACATATTGATTGTTGTTACCACTTTATCTCCTGTGCTTCTAACTCACTGATCTTATTTACCAGATTCCAAATAATTACACACATGCAATCTAAACCTACCCTTATGTGCCTTGTATATCCCCTAGTTTGCTTCCATCTAACATGATAGTACTTTCTTCTCCAGTACCATTCAATAGTCTGACTCTTTTATGCACTTTATTTCTCTTTTCTACTTCTATATGCTGGTTCCCACTCCCCTGCACTTTTGTTTAAATCCTTGCCAACCAAACTGGTGAACCTGTCGAAAAAGACAAGTGGTCCCAATCCACTTAAAATACAACCTATCCCTTTTTATAGGTGTCTCCTGCCCCAGAATGATCTCCATAGCCCAATGATCAAAAGCCCTTCCTCCTACATCATGGTTGTCATTGTCCAGATTGTGTGACTAACTGTCAATCCTTTCTGTTCACCTATGACCCCACTCCCAAGCAAATGCTGTCTTGCTGAGATACTAATCTAGTTGGCATCTTTGTTTGGAGTAGTGTGCCAGTTAGCCAATGCTTGCAGATCACTCTATTTGATAATGACATGGATCTTTCCATGGGTGCATGTAATAGTCCATTGGCATAATGATTGATTGTACTTTTCAGCATAGCTGCAGGTGGAACGATTCAAGTGGGATACCTTGGTTACAGGTCTTCATGTAGTCAAGGTCAGAGCTCTCCTCACCACTCTTCCCTTTATCTTGCATCAGAGCATAAGAAATAAGAGCGGGGCAAGACCAAACACTTCACAGTTTCAAGCAAAGATACAATGCACTGGAAACAGCCAAAGAACGTTTATAGGGCTGATTCCTGGGATGAAGAGGCCATCTTATGAGGGAAGGTTGGAACAGTCCCCATTGTACTTAAGAAGAATGAGAGCTACTCTTGCTGAAACATTTAATATTTTGATGGGGCTTTGATGAAGTAGATGCTGAGAGAATGCTTTCTCTCGTGAGGAAATCTAGAACTAGGGGGCATTGTTTAAAGATAAGGGGTTTCCTGTTTAAGATGGAGATCCTGAGGTTTTTTTTTTACTCAAAAAGGATTGTTAGTCTTTGGAATTCTCTTCCATAGGGGGCAGTAGAGGCTGGGTCATTGAGTATATTCAAGGCTGAGTTTGACTGATCGTTAATTGACAAGAGAGTCAAGGATTATGATGGACAAGCTCATAATCAGATGAGCCACAATCTCACCGAATGGTGGGGAACAGAATGATGAGACAAATAGCCTTCTCCTGCTCTTATATCTTATTACATTCTATCACTTAAAGACCCTAGTCTGCCATTCCAAAAGTTTGTGGCTGCACTTCCAACATTAACCCCACTGATCTGTCTTATCCATGTAACCTTATAATATTAATGCCCAATGAACAATCAACCACAGTCTTGAATATACCCATTCAGTGAACATGCACAGCTCCCTTCGTTGAGAGAATCTCAAGGAATTATACTATTCTGAGGGTAGCTTTCTCCCCTCAACTCATAGCCCAAAATGACCAACACCTTAGTCTCCTTCTGTAACTTCATCTCCCCCTCCATTGTTATGGCAAACAAAAGAACACGATGCCTGCTTCCCACGGTGTTTATGGAAAAGAAAAAGCAATATTCCAATCGCAGAGTCCTTCAAATGATCAAAAGCAAGCGTAGTTGTGCTTAGGTGAGAAACCAAAAAAAAAATCAAACCGTTATTTATCTCCAGGGAATGCTGTTTAGTATATTTGCACCCCTGGCTCAATGCTCCTTCCCTTCTGCTAGTCTTTTCCTTCACTGGTGCTTCTAACATGTTGTTACTCTGTGTTGTAAGCGTGCATTCAAAATCACTGGCTTTGATGTTAACATAAGTAAATTTGTTCTTTGGAGGGTTTGTGAGTAGATTGAGAGGGTGTTTCAAGCATAGTTTGTGGACTGGGTTACATTAATTTTGGGGGCAAATGACACTGGGAAGAAACCAGGCAAAGGACTATGCACATCTTTCACCATAAAAAAAGCTGAAAATGCTGGAATATTTTGGAGAGTTCCAAACTCCAAGTAATACTTAACTTGCCTTTGGTGAGGATGGTAAGGGAGTGTTAAGGCAAACCTGCCTGTCAGTTTCATGTGACATGGTTAATTTCTTTCACAGCTGCTTGAGACAAGTATCTTGAAAACACCAAGCAGGAGTGATGATGAATGACTAACTGCCCTCACTTGAAAATACCTAAATGTAACAATTCCTGGAAAGAGTCTGGCTTGAATCAAATAACCTCACAAATCAGTCTGTGAAAATTGTTAGATAAGATTTGACTACACAGATGTTAAGTCAGTGAGTTCATCATAAAGAAGAACTACAGCATGACAACAATATTGTCTGTGGATTCTACTACATAAAGAAAGTCAATGGTTTTCAGTTTCAGGAGGTATTTTCTTTCTTCCAGCAAAGTGAGTGAAGTGAGTCCAATTTGCAATCTTCTGACCTTCAGCACTCTTTAGACAGGAGGGGGATATAAAGTGACATAACTGTAATTGCTCCATGAAACACCTTTGCCTCTGACGACACCGTAATTCTAAAATCCTTAAACTCTAATGTGTTTAACTAATGTCACCTGTTTAAGGTCAGGATTAGCAAAGCAAAGAGTAAGTAATTCATCCAATTTTCAAAAGGGTTACAATTGAACGTTTCAGTTGAATAAGCTATAGCCAGAGCAAACGCAGGAAATCGTATGATCTTTGTGCCAAAATAGAGTTAACATTGATTTGAAAAGACAAGTCCTGATGTATGGAGATTCCTCACACAATGAGTTCCATATCTCAGTTACACTCCATGAACCTGCGAGGGGGGAATTGGGGTGGGGTGGCAGGGGGGTGGGGGTGCGGTGCTGCAAAGTGATGTTAAAGTACTGGACATGAGGCGACAAAATAGTGTGGCTGTCACACGTTGCAGAGCAGAATGGGTTGGCTATCTCACCGAAGAGGAGATGGTGCATGGTAAACAGCATATAAGTAAGTATCTGTTTTCTTTAAAGCAATATAAAGACACTCTGCATGCAGCAGCTTCACTTGCATTATGGAGCCTATGAAGGATTGATGGCAGTGAACTTACTGAACAGTGGTTACCCTGTTCCCTTAACTGGTAGAGGTGGTAAATACCACAAGGTACCAGGAATGATCATCTTGGACAATACAAGAAGGTCCTTCAACTGGAGAAGTTGAAAAATCTCTACCCTATCTTATTCTTATCGCTGGAAGGGGTTGGGGAGCAGACTAGAGGGGTGAGGAGGAGGCAGAGTTTGGCCTCTGGTTACCTGTCAATGCTGCACAATTCTTAACTATCCGTCACATAAGAACATGAGCATTATAGATTGACATATCAGGCTGCTACCCATCTCTAATTACTTAGATTTGCAGAAACAGTCAATATTGTCACAAGCGTGTTCCATAGTTCTGATGTAACTGTGAAGCCATTTCAGTCATCCTTCATCTCCCACATTGTCCACTCTGTCTCATCATATTATCCATACTTCCTGATTAAACTTATTTTTTTCTCTCCAGCCTGATTTATGGTGTTCTGCAGTCTCAGCTTACGCCTTTCTTCCTAAGTTTTCAATGAACAAATATCACTGCTGCTAAATAAAAAGGACAAACTAAAGAGAAGGTGAAAAAAAGTGTTTACTTATCCCAAAAAAGTGGATTAATTCATTAGCATGTTAACATAGTTTCATAATTCTGATGATTTAGTAGACAGTGAGGTCATAAATCCTGGTACCTTTGTTTGGAGCTGGTGTCAGGTTAAAAGTGATAACGGTATGAAGAACATCATGAACCAAAAGGAAATGTGAAAATAGGAAAAAAAAAATTATGCATAACAAACCATAAAAAAAGTGTGGGAAATAAAGGCAGCTGCAACAAAGTTTTTCCAGCAGTTATAATTTTTTTTTAAATAAGACAATAAATTTAAAGGGAAAATCATTCAAAATCCGCAGGAAGGTATTTCCATTAGTGATGATAGTAAAAACTAGGAGTCATCGATATAGTTATACATGAATCCCAGAAGGAATGCAGGAGAAATTACTTTATCCAGCGGGTGGTTAGAATGATGGATCTAACCACCACAAGGAGCATTGTACTGAATATGATGAATGTATTTAAGCCAATTTGGACAAGTACATGGGGGAGAAAATGATATAAAGTTATGCTGTTAAGTTAGGAGCAAAGTGCTAAGAGAACGCTCACATGAGAAATGGAAATGCCATAGATTAGTTGGTGTTACAGTGCAGCAAATGCTACGTTTAAAAGAAACCCAATAAAAATGACTTTCTTGGTTTGGAATGAACTGCCGTCAATGCTGGTTGGGTTGCTACTGTGACACCCGTACAGTGGAACTGTGCATTAATAGCATCGAGAAAACTGTCCAGCTCATCAGAAGGTTCTGCTTGACAAAGTGAGGAAGAATAACTTACCTTCTGCCTTGATGTCATCAATGAGAGGGCAGGAGGTTCTCATGGTGACAGTGCTTGGCTCAGAACGTCGCCCTCTACTGTCCAAAGCGTACAACGTAAACCTGAAAGAATGAGAGAGTACAAGCGAGATAAAAGTCTGGGGAAGTTTATGCAGAGGCCATTAAGGTGAAACATGTGTGCATGTCTTAGGATACTAAATAGAGCTGATTAGTAAATTACACTAAATATCATAATGTGAAAATTATGGTCTCCCTGGCACTGTAATTTTATTTTCCATCTCAATAATTATCCTTAGAATATGCTCCATGAATTGGTTGAGATCACAGAGATCAAAATGCCAATTCTGCTGTCATTTAATAATTAAATCAATATTGAAGAGAAATCAGAAACTATGTTCTTCTAGATTTTGAAAAGCTCATTTTGCTTAGATCGGCATCTTTGATGATGTCGGAGGAACACAGCAGACTTGAGTCCTGATGAAGGGTCCCCATCTGAAACATCCACTCTCTTCTCCTCTGATGCTGCCTGACCTGCTGTGGTCCTCCATCTCCACACTGTATTGACTCTGACCCCAGCGTCAGCTGTTCTCGCTATCTCTTTGATGATGTACTCGAGTGAACCTGTCATTTTATCTTAACATGATCTACCAAATAAATGGGGTGGCACATTGGCTTAGTGGTTAGCACTGCTGCCTCACAGCGCTCATGGACCTGCATTCAATTCTACTCTCGGGCGACTGTCTGGGTGGAGTTTGCACATTCTCTGGGTTTCTGCCATGTCCTCCGGTTTCCTTCCATAGTCCAAAGATGTGCAGGTTAGGTGGATTGGCCATGCTAAATTGCCCATAGTGTTCAGGGATGTGCAGGCTAGGTGGATTAGCCATGTGAAATGCAGGGTTACAGGGATAGTGTAGAGGGTTAGTCTGGCTAGGCCAAATGGCTTCCAGAGATTCTATGATTCTAAATTACAATATGCTGTATGTTATTACTCTGACCTCTGCAAGTAATATTTTCAGAGGGTAGATGATCCTTGAGGAGGATCCTGTTGGCTCTGATGGCTAGGTGTCAGAGCATTGTACAGAGACCGATGCCTGTTTCCAGTTAAGGCAAACATGGGCCAACCTCATAGCATAATCAAAGAATATGTCATGGTTTGATAGCCATCAAATAGACAAGAATGCTAGCTAGAGAGGAAGAAAAATCCCTGCTGACCTAAACAAAAAGTGAATATATCTCTTCTTCCAACAAAGGTGAAAAACGAGAGGGAGTTAAGCAGTTACATAATAAGAGATGCCAGTCAGAAGGTGATGTATTATAATTGCTCGATCAGGTTATTGCTTCAGTCAGCTTGCTTGTGACCATATTGTGTTTTATCATAGCTCAAATTCTTCTGAAGAATGAAAGCACATGATTGGAGTCCACTTGCAAATTAGTCACTGGCACTTTAGCGGGTTACAATGAAGAATAGACACTGCTGGAACAGGATGGTAAGATAGAATAAGGTTATTTAAAATTGGAAGCAAACAAATGTCTTACAACTTGCATATTGATGTATATCCAGATTGTTTTGATGCTCCCCAGAGGGAACAATACCAGCTTCTTATTTTGCAAAATAGGAAAATGGCTCTTTTGAACTTAACAAAATCAAAAGAACAATTGCATGAGTGCACCGAAATACTCCAAGATAAACAATGTTTGTATTGTGAAGATGCAAGTAAACAATAGAGAAACAGACAGGCAATGTCTACAGAAACTCTGATACCTGAAACAGAGACAAGCATACACATATCTCTGGAGAACATTTTTTTTCCATGGTATCATTTAAGGACAGAGGCGAGAGATTTAAAGGCGACTTGCTGAGCAGAAATGGGACTTTCCCACATCAAAACTGTTACCAAGTCCCATCTTGAAGTGACCATGACCAATTTTGCAATAGGGGAGCTGAAGAAGCCACCTGAAGCTATAGTATAGCTAAGCAGCCCTGCTCATTTCTTGCCAGTCCAGAATCAGTGAAACATGGTCCATATTTAGAGCCCGTCAGAAGTACTGGATATCACACCATTCCTGGCAAGAAAACATCCACCCTCTGTCACCTGAAAAGAAAAGTTAAAAATGCATTCTTGTGATGTTCCCATAGCATTATGCAGTGAAATTTGGCATTTTGGGCACTGTGTGAGAATGTAAAGTTTTTGGAGCACTCTGAGCTCTATGACGAGTTAGGTGGCAACACTTTGTTCTGCCCTGCGAGAAGAACATTAGAAATTGCAGCAGGAACAGGCCATTTGGCCCCTCAAGCTTGCCTCACCACTCAACAAGACCATGGTTGAACTGCCCGAGGGCCTCAACTCCTCTTTTGTGCCAGCCCAGCCAACCTGTCAACTCTCTGATGCTTCAATAATCAATCCACTTCCTCTTCAAATGCATTCAGTGATCGAGCCTCCACAACTGTCTGGGGTAGAGAAAGCCTGACATTCACTACCCGCTGGCAGAAATTCCTTCACACCTCAGTTTTAAACAAATGTCTCCTTATTCTGTAACTATTTCCTCCGGATTGAGATTCCCTCCCTTGTGGAAATATCTTCTCTACATCTATCCTATCAAGGTCCCTAAGACAGTGGCACAGTGGCTCAGCAGTTAGCACTGCTGCTTCACAGCACCAGGGACCTGGGTTCAATTCCACCCTTAAGCGACTGTCTGTGTGGAGTTTGCACATTCTCCCTGTGTCTGTGTGGGTTTCCTCCCACAGTCCAAAGATGTGCAGGCTAGGTGGATTGGCCATGCTAAGTTGCCTGTAGTGCCCAGGGATGTTTAGGTTAGATGTGGGAACATGCAGGGCTGGGGAATGGGTCTGGGTTGGATGCTCTTTGGAGGGGTGGCACAGATTTGTTGGGCCAAATGGCCTGTCCCCACACTGTAGGGATTCTATGAATCTTTTACATTTCAGAACAATAACCCATCATTCTAAACAGTAATGCGCAAAAATAACCTGTTTAACTGTTCTTGATAAGTCAAACCCTTTATGCCAGGAATCAGCCCACTGATTATGTTTTGAATCACCTCCGAAGGTAGAATATCACTTTTTAAATACAGGGACCAAAACTGCGCACAGTACTCCAGTAGTGGCCTCATCAATACCACGTGCAGTTGTAACAACCCATCTCTGTTTATAAACTCCAATAACCTTGCAATAAAGTCCAAAGGAGAGGGGATGATCGCAAAGCTTTTAATAGGTAACTCTAGTTTAGGGTAACTGAGAAGGAGTTAGACTTGACACAAACAGGGGCAGACTCTCTGTTTGGAGTGTTTATTTTTAGCTGACCTGCATGGAAGAAATCAAGAGAAGTTAACTTGATATGTGTAGTCAGACTCAGAAACAGTGTTGGAGAATGAAAACTGAGGGATATATCTGACCTGGGGACGCTAACCAATGATGACTGAATACTGAAATTTCGTAGTTTCGGGGAAACATGAACCCAGGAGAACATGGTGATTGACTAGAACAGGAACAGTCACTGAGGCAGTCCACAATGGACTGGCAATTGGAAAAGAGTTTCAAGGCCAGATCTGCAAAAGCGAATTATTGTAATTTCTTCTGAAGTTTAATGAGATTTGATGACTCATAATTTTATTAATGTGTGTGAGGAGTTGTTGATAAATCTGAGAGATCTATGTTGATTGCATTTGTTATTTGAAGTGCACTGTGGGATGTTTGATCGCGGTATGTTACACATGTTTACCACATGTTACTTCTTCTGCCTATTAGAAATTAGCTGTACATGTACTGATGATTGCATTACTGACCCAACTTGTAAAGTCTTTTTTTTGTTTAAACCTGTGGAATCATATGCCTTGTTTTCTTTTAGTCATCTCTGGATCTCATCTTCGTTTTAAAATTGGTCCCTAGTCAGATCACAGCATTATTTGAGATAACATGGTGTAGAGCTGGATGAACACAGCAGGCCAAGCAGCATCATAGGAGCAGGAAGGCTGACATTTCGGGCCTAGACCCTTCTTCAGAAATGGGGGAGGGGGAGGGGAAGGGGGTGACTCCCCCTCTCTCCCTATTTATTTCAGAACCCCCTTCCCCTCCCCCATTTCTGAAGAAGGGTCTAGGCCCAAAACGTCAGCCTTCCTGCTCCTATGATGCTGCTTGGCCTGCTGTGTTCATCCAGCTCTACACCGTGTTATCTCAGATTCTCCAGCATCTGCAGTTCCTACTATCTCTCATAGCATTATTTGATGATCTTATCCAGGATCATAGCAATAAAGGTGATAATCAGGTATTCAATCATAACAATCATAGGAAACAAACTCATGCGTGCGGTTACAGCTTAAGGAAAGACAAACTTCACATTTTACATTCACAGAAATAAATCACTTCATTTTAAATGCTGAAATTGACTAAAAATTTGAAGAAAAATTAATTATTGATATTTAAAATGTTGACCTACAAGAGCAACCCAAGTTCATTCAATACATATCCTGGGAGTGGGTATGCCTTGCCTTTGAGAGTATTCACCTTGAAGGAATTTATATACTGTGTGAGAATATAATGTTGTGCCTCTGGTTGGCAGATGGATGCTTTGGATTTGTAAAGTGCACACAGAAATTAGAATGTTGTAATGTCTGCTTCATAACTTGTGATGTGTTTTACTTTCTTAAATAACATAACATAGAGTTAATCAATCCCTGATGATCAACTGATCATTAAAACATTGAGATTAACATGACAGAGGTGCATGGGTAATGTCACTGGACTAAAAACCAAGACATCCTGGCTAATGCCCTGGGAACAAGGATTCAAATCCCAATGTGGCTGGTGGAATTTGAATTCAATTAATAAATTTGGAATATAAAGCTCATCTCTGCAATGGTGACGATGAAATTATGATTGGTTGTTACAGAGATCCAGGTAACATCCTTTAGGAAAGGAAATCTGCTCTCCTTACCTGGTCTGGCCTACACGTGACTCCAGACATACAACAACATACTGACTCTTAAAGTGAAGTTCAAGGGGAATTAGAAATGGGAAACAAATGCTGATCCTGCCATGGGCACCCAGATCCCATGAGAGACCAAGGCAAAAAAATACTCATCGCTAT